GTATACTTGGAACAATCCACGTGTCCAAATACCTGTATACTTGGAACAGTCCACATGTCCAAATACCTGTATACTTGGAACAATCCATGTGTCTAAATACCTGTATACTTGGAATAATCTATATGTCCAAATACCTGTATACTTGGAACAATCCACGTGTCCAAATACCTGTATACTTGGAACAATCCACGTGTCTATATACCTGTATACTTGGAACAATCCATGTGACCAAATATCTGTATACTTGGAACAATCCATATGTCCTAAATACCTGTATACTTGGAACAATCCACGTGTCCCTTGGACATATAGATTGTTCCAAATATACAGGTACTGGTACACTTGGATTGTTCCAGATATACAGGTATTTGGGCACGTGGATTGTTCCAGGTATACAGGTATTTGGGCATATGGATTGTTCCAAGTATACAGGTATTTGGACACGTGGATTGTTTCAAGTATACAGGTACTGGTACACTTGGATTGTTCAAAGTATACAGGTATTTTGGCATGTGGATTGTTCCAGGTATACAGGTATTTGGGCACATGGATTGTTCCAAGTATACAGGTATTTAGACACATGGATTGTTCCAAGTATACAGGTATTTGGACATGTGGACTGTTCCAATTATACAGGTATTTGGACACGTGGATTGTTCCAAGTATACAGGTATTTCCAAGTATACAGGTATTATACAGGTATTTGGACATATAGATTATTCCAAGTATACAGGTATTTGGACACGATAGTTGCCTGGAAAAATCCACATGCCCAAATACCTGTATACTTGGAACATATTATGGCCATGCTATTTTACTGAGTGTTGATGTAACCTACAAGTTTTGTGCCCAAGGATGTGAGATACAGATCAAAGTCACTTCAGAGCTGCAGTGTGCCTCCTTTTTCCATGGGTTTAACACAGTTTATTATAGTACATGGGAGTTTAAAGAGTTTAGTAAAGTTATGATTAATGTTGTAAATATTGTTTCTGTTTAAATCATACAAGATTGGTCTTGTGTTGTAAGCATGGGTTATTAATGTAATTAATGTCAAATCATACAAGATGAGTATTGTGTTGTAAGCATTGGTTATTAATGTAACTAATGTCAAATCATACAGGATGAGTCTTGTGGTGTAAGCATGGGTCAATAACTAGCATCAAATCATATAAGATAAGTTGTTGTAAACACTGGTTATTAACTTAGCTATTGTCTTTGTCTGAACTTAAGAAGAAAATTGACTTGGTCATTTGGTCTTGATATATATTTTTTTAAACATCTGTGTCTTTTTCACATACATTTTAGAGATAATAAACTTTACAGCATTTGATAACCAAATTGTATGTTATTTCTCTGTTAAGTCCGTGCAAGCACATATTATTTCAAGTTAAGAGTTGGGAAACCATTGACAAAGAATTCTTTTTAATTAGACTGTTATAAACAAACTGCAAATGATGAACATACATAACTGTGTGTTTGATGTACTGTCTTTATGACCACGTACTTTCTTTATATAATTAAGTACTTCCAATCAGAGCAAGCTACCTACTTAGAGAGAAACAAAAAATCAACATGGTAATTAGTTTAGCTAATTAGATATACTTTTCTTATGTTATTATTTATAAAGATTAGAATGCCTTGTTTCATCAGTTCCTCATAGAAATATGTTAACAATGTTTTTGGCCATAAACCCAATAATATCTCATGAGGTTCAGCCAGCTTAGAATATTTAGGGTAGTACTAAATCTATATACTAAGCTAACAGTACACTACAATATTTATAATAAAAGTATAATAATAAAAATTAAAACTAAAAATAACAAAACAAGATGTATATCAAACACTTTAACCAATACTCTTAATAAAGTCACAATAAAGAAGTAATAGGTTTTATAAATGTTAGAATGTATAATTTTTGTACTTTATGTATAAAAAAACAAGTTCCTTTTCTTCAACATAAATTAATCTTTTCTGGTTGAACTAT